TTTGAATGTACAACAGTACAATTCTTTTTAAGGACGCGCTCAGAACTTCACAAATTGTTCAGTCATCGTGTTTGTAAACACGTGTTTGTAAACCACGCAGCCCCTCGTTCAGAAATGCAAAAACCAGGGAAAAAAGTCTCACGAGCGCCATTTCTTGCTTTGGAGCTGTCACTGCGCAGGACCTCAACTACCAGAAACAAAAGGACAGCAGCACTCTGAGCAACATCCGGAATCACTTCCAAGCCCAAAAAACAGAAGTCTTTAAAGCCCAGATTTCTCTCAAACGCCAAGGCTTTCATGCTGCCCACCTACCGGCTTCTTTTAAGGCTGCACCCATTTCACACCTATGTATGGGCGTGCATTTTCACTGCCACCAAGTGCAAAAGCAGTGACATTTTCACCTTATGGAAGATGTAACACTACCTTATTTAACTGCACAAATACTACCAAAGGCACGCAGTTCAGTAACTCTCTTCTGTCTCTCTCAGCAGCACCAAGCAGTCATTTTCCCAGTGGAGCTCGCTTTTCGTATCCTCGACCCTGTTCTGAGGGCAGGCAGAACAGGCAGGACAACAAGATCCTCTGAAATCCTCTCCCCTGCTGGTAGCAAATCCCTGCAGCTGTTTGCTTGAGAACCGCTCTCTCTGACCTGCTCCATTCCCTTTCTCTGCGCACAGTGTAGCAGAACGGCATTGCCAGCAGGTCCAAATTTGGCTGCTCTCCAGAAAGTATTAGAGCAATTCAGATGAATATTATCCATCTAATATAGCAATTAGATTTGCAAACGTTTCTCAACTGCTCATTCAGCTACCTTGCAAGTATTTGCCTGTTATGCCAGCACTCGCAATGTGCAGCACTGAAACGCTCACGTCCGTACCACAAATACTTCATCCCACTGAATGGAACAACTGCCATCAACAAGGAAATCACTTATCAGCTCCCAGCTGGTGGGAACTAACAGCAGCTGTAAGCCACAAAGTGGGATGTAAGCTCTCACTGTGACCTGCTGTTCAAGGGAGTCATTCTACTTCCAGAAACAGAGATTTCACTCCAAAGGCTGCTCAGGCAACAACGCACGGCCAGTCAGAGCCCTTATGCTGTATACGGCACCTTTTCAAGGTCTCTCTCTTTTCTCATCTGCTTCAGACACCTCATCGTCTCGGAACCCTCTGCTGAATTGCTTTCCAACAGCTGCCCTGCACCTGGAGCACAAAACTGTATTCAGTTCCACTGTCTGCGTGACTTTTCCTACTCAATAGCATTTTGTTCTCAGAAGGTTAAGGCAATGGTTTCCCATTGTTCTTTCACTTCTTCCAAGCACTGCGCCTGAGGGAAATCTCTTACTTTCACCTCAGCCCTGCTCTACAAGCCTCACAGTATTTGGGCTTTCTTTAGAAAAAGCAAAACAAACAACAAAATCACACTCCATCAGAGCACATCATCCATCTTTTAAACACAAGTACTTGGATGCAACCAGAAACTGACTTCATTTATGTCCTTCAAAAAACAAAAACACCTCTCTGGCACAAGCCAACTCAACTTTTCCCTTTCTTCTCCTTCCTCCCCCTTTTCCTTTCCCTTTTCCTTCTTTCTCTTCCATTCGCTTCCCCTTCACAGTTCCCTTTTTCTTTCCTTTCGTCCTTCCTTCTCCTCCATTCCCCTCTCCTCAGTCCCTTATCATCTCTGTGGCTCCTCTGGACCCTCTCCAACAGCTCCCTGTCTTTCTCGTACTGGGGGCTCCAGATGCAGCCTCCAGATGGGGCCTCACAAGAGCAGAGGAGAGGGCCGGATGACAACAGAGTAGAGTGTATGGATGACAACAAGGTTTATAAAAGAAAGGAGAATGTAATAACCCAACCTTCACTCTGTGCAAACAGTTTTAAGTTAAAACCCTACCTTTCCAACTACTCTGCTTTGGAAAGCATTTTGGGCTCCAACAGGAGGCAGCATCTACTCACTGATGGTACTAATGAGAGCACAGCAGTCCCGAGGCATTTGGAGAAGGAAAAAAAAGGCAGAGCTACATTCATCTGATGTTGTGCCCAGAAATCTCAGTCATTATCCATGACAAGGTAAAATCCAGGTCAGGTGCTACTGGTGAAGATAAGTAGGACTGCTAGCTTACCAAGAAATGACTCTGTCCGTTTGGAAAGTTCCGTGTTTGTTTCTGTTAATCCTGAAACTTTGCTCTGTGGTAGAAACTCCACTCTCCATTAATAAAAAGGTGAAAAGCAGGCAGGAGGCCCGAAGAACCCGAAACCAGGGAGAAGCAGATATTATGCTGAATTCAAGCCTAACCTGTCAGGAGAACTGGAATCTAAAGGAGAGATGAAACTGGCGAACGTAACACGGGACCCGGAGTATGGAAAAGAATATTGGGCTGCAATCTGAGCTCTCCCTGGGTTCCTCAAAACTAGAAGAGAACGGTCTGCTGCAAATACTCCTTGCTCTCCATCCCAATCAGCACTCTGCACAACTGCAAAATGCCAATAAGTTCCTCCTGCAAATGTTACAATTTCTGCAAAATGTTTTCAGACGACTCATGACAAAAGCAATTCCTCCTCCCTCATCCCTCAAACCTTTCACACAAAAAAGCCTTCACAGAACATATCCTAAGAGGAAAATTCTACTGATTCAATTTACCTCATGCCCGCCACATGTGCAGTGTGCAATCTTATTTGTTTCTTTTGTTTTGAGCAAATCCTCCATGTAAGATGATGCTGAAGTTCGCACCTTAAAGCAGAGCTCGTATACTGCTGCTCGCTGGGATATTTCAAGACAAGAGGGGGATTTTTGAGACAAGGCACCTCATCGCTCATGTTTTTCTTCTGTAATCACTCGCAGGCTCCTTTCCTTGCTTTAAAACATTCTGGTACTGCTATATCATCACTCCTCATTTACGAGAGCACAACACATTGCATTGTTCACAATGCTGCCTTGTTACAAATGCCAGGACATAACAGCGCTGTAAGGGCAGCTCACATGGAAACCAGTATCAAAACATGCATTTTTAACAACTCAAGTTTTCCACAAAAGCATCCAAACATGTTCTTTGGGCTGGATAGATCAGCAGCCTACAAAGCCAAAACGTGAATAATAAAGGTGTGCAATGGTGAAGTACCTGACGTTCACATTTGTTGTCATGATGTTCTGCTCAACTTAATTATCTCTGGGGAAAAAAAAACAAGTGGAGCTTCTACTAAACTGAATCCTTTGGGAAAAGTAATACATATATATTTAAAATATTTCCATCAATATTTTCCTTTCAAATATGGAATCTGAACAATTGCCACCTTTTGCCAACATCAGTAGTTATTCACAGACAGAATTTCAATAATGCTTCATATTACATAGCGTGACAGTATTTTCTTGATCGAGCTAAAGAAATGGGAGAGATAAGAGTATTTTTACAGACTTCACCTCACTGATGTGCATAAGCAAACTGTGCACTAGGTATATTAGCATCCTTCAATACATTTGTCACTGGGCCTCTAAATGGAATGCCTGTGGAATACAAAAACCTTCCAAGTACTGACACTGTTGTATGTTTCATTGCCTGCCGCCTTGTCAAGTAACAGCAGATAAGAAGAAAAAGACTCAGAATGCTTCATGAATTATCTTCAACTCTAGTATATTTATGGGACTATCTTGCAAACATATATCGACACATCCCAAGCTCCTAAGTAAACAAAATAATACATTCCTGAGAAAGAGGAATTTTGTCATTAGAAACTTCAAACTAAGAAGAGCCTTCATTCAACAAACATTGCTTGGGTCTCTGTTCCCTCCATACGGTTTAATAGCCAGAATAACAGGTGCAACACTGCAAGCTCTAAGTTGATATGTGCTCCTACACAGCAGTGATGCTACACGCAGGGTGCTGTACTGGGGCAGGCAGGGACAAGGCTGCTGTCCCCACGGCAGCCACACGGTGCTGTGCTTTGCTCTTGCTGCCATAGCAGCACTGGTTTCACAGCCACAGCACAGCACTGCATCAACTCTGCAGCCCCTGAGCCAGCAGGCTGGACGTGGGCAAGAGGAGGGGGAAGGCCATCAGCAGGGCACTGATCTACATGGATATCGCATACCAGATGATGCCACACACAGCACGAGCAGCTGGGGAAGGGCCACAGCATGTACTGAGGGCCTGCTTTCCAAGGGGGGGCCAAATGCTGCTTACTGCTGAGAGAAGCTGTGGGTTTCCCATCCCTGGGGGTGTCCAAGGCCAGGCTGGATAGCACCCTGGGCAAGCTGACCTGCTGGTGTTTGATCCAGTGGCTGGCAACCAGATGCACTCTGAGGTCCCTTCCAACCCAGGCCATTCTATGATGAGCAGAGGATAATCGTTTTCTCTCCTTGTATGGCCTTTGCTTGATGTTTTTCTTTTTCCTCCTTTTCCTTTAAACTGTCCTTATCTCAACCTATGAGCATTTCATTCATTCACTTTCCAACCACATTTTCTCTCCCCCCCTCTTCCTTTGAGGAGGGGCTGTGACAGCACGGTGTGGTGGCGTTCTGCTGATAACTGGTGTGAAACCACCGCTTGATGAACATTTCCCCAATATAAAATGCAAATGCCCTGAACCATAAACACAGGAAATCAAGATCGGAAACACCACCGCGATGTATTTAGTGCTGTGACGCAATGGTGCTTCTCAATTTGCTCTCTCCAAAATACAATACAAACCTCAGGAGAGCTGATGGGTGGCAAAATAAAATTACTTCTTCCTTTCTGATGAAAGACAGCTGCTCTAACTGACTCTGCTTGAGCAGAGGGGCCTCAATACACCAACTCTCAAGGTCTTTCCAAACAAAGTAATTCTGCAGATTTTCTGAAACAGGGGAACAAGAAAAACGAACACCTAACAGGCAGAACAGAAAGTGATTGCACGTGACTGCAAAGCTTCCTGGGAACTTGCATCATTTGCTATGTTTGGTGATTAATAAAATGGTATCATCCCTGTTGGAAATATCCAAGTAATTTTTGTCAGGACGGTATCTCTGATAAAAGCAGAATTTATTCGCGATTGCAATGGCGGCGTCCCGCAAGCAGGAGCGCCTATGGACACAACATGGCAGCCTTTAGACCCTGTTTTCTCCCCCTTGCCTCCCCCCTCCCCTGTTTCCCCACTGGCTGGGTACTCCAGGTTCACAATCTTACAGAAGGTTTACATTTGCTATTTACTTGTTAATTTATTTATTATCTGGTGTCAGTCGGCAGCCATCCTGTTGTTTCCAAGGTATCTCGCTGCTCTCCTTGCAGTATTGATATGGTGATTTTCTTCAAAGTCTTCGTTAAACAAAGAGCACTGGGGGAACGATGCCAGGCCTTTCGATGTCTCTTCAGGTGCTTCCTCGGGCAGGCCATCACTTGTTCTCTGGTTTGACCTCGTGCAGAATGTTCTTGCAGTGTGTGACAAAATATACATCTATACACCTATGTACAGAGTGTGCGTTCCTGGGAAGTTTTGTCTAGAAGATAAGTGATGTAAACTTATCAGAGATCTTCCCCAAGTTAAGCAGAAGGACTCCCAAAAAGAACTATGATAGCGGAGACCGTGAAATAAAAATAATATTATCCAATTTTAGCGCAGAAACAACATTTGATTCCCACAATTCCCCCCTTTTTCTTTTTTTATACATTGTTGATTTCTGCAGTTCCTTTTTTTTTTTTTTTTTTTTTTTGTTAAGGTTCACTTTTATAGACATCTCCCTCGTCTTCACTGTCTTTATCTCCCATCTCCTCTAACACCATCATTTTATCCACATGTAATGGCTCCATTGGTGTTTGCTTCAATAGTGCTCTCTCTATCATTCACTCTACCAGTCCCCTCACACAGGGGATAACACAGCAACCAGTGGCCATCAAGGCTCCTGCACTGCTATCAAAGAAGTAAATGTGGATACAGTCACCCCTTCCATTCACCAAACCAGGACTCCAACCATCCAGTGACAAAGTATCTATTCCTGATTTTTCTGCCACTTCATTGACAAGGGTGGCACCAAGCCCTTGCAATGCCTTTGTTATTATGCCATCCAAGCTGTGTTACTGGGATGAGGGTGCAACAACGGGTACCCAGCGTTACATATACACTCTTTTATCATATCTTAGGAGATCCTATTTTCTCAGGCCACTCTACTTGTGGCATCTAACTGTCCTGCAATTCTCTTTATTGCACTTTGTATAATTTGTAAATCTCCATTGATTATAACAGATGTAGTTAATTCAATCTACATTCTTGTTGATCATCACCCACCAGGACAGTGACTCAAACCCTGCAACAGTCTGATTTCTCCCCTTAAAATCATCAGGGACAACAAGTAGAGAAAAGTTTAAATCCTTTGCTTGCCCACATACCAAACAATACTGATATGCAATGATGTTTGTCACAAGAGATACATAACATTTACATCAAATGCTGCACTCATCAAATCAACATTTCTAACGATTACAAAAGCCCACATTTCTGTCTCTGGATTCACAATTTTAAGGGTCCAGCTGACTTCAGTTCTCATTGTGTTCGAGGGACCTTCTTAACTGTAGTATTGTATATCCACAGTGCTTTTACTGTTGTTTGGGATGTTAGCAGCACCTGGAACAGACCTACCCACCTTGGTTCCAAGGGCGAATCTGAAAGAGATCTGCTATACACATGTTATCGAGCCATATCAAGGCCTTGGGCTCTAGCTCCTAGAACCAGTTTCTCTTTTTCTCAGAGCTATTCCTGTAGACTTATCACATGCTCAGTTAGTATTTCGCTCCCTACTTGGGTAGAGGTCCCCTTTTGTACAACATAAGGCCTTTTGTACGGTATTGTGAAAGGACTTAACTCCTCTTTGGCTCTAGGTTTTGTTCTGGTACTAAGGAGAGCCAAAGGCAACAACTGTGGTCAGGATAGTCCAGCTTCCTGGCCCAGTTTTACACCCTGTGATTTAATTACATAGTTCATCTTTTCCTCCTGACCACTCGCCTGTGGTCTGTGTGCTGTGTGCAATTGCCAATTTATTCCCAATGCTTGCTGACCTGTTGGACAATCTCTGCAATAAAATGAGTTCGCTGGTTGAAGGGGATTGTTTCAGGACACCCAAACCTTGGAATAATCTCCTGCAAAAGCACCTTGGTTACTTCCTTGGCTCTATTGGTCCTGCAAGGGAATGCTTCTGGTCACCCTGAAAGGGTATTGGTTAGAACTAGCATATATCAAAACCCTCCTTTTTCCTGGCAGTTCAAAAAAAAAAGCATTTTGCGATTGCAGCCCTGGAAGGTTCCCTTTCCAACAAGCCCCACTTGCACCCTGTTCCTGGTACTAGGATTGTACAGTTACTTTCTGGTGTCTGTACCCCCATGTTTTATTATGTTCCCTTAGAACCAAATGCTATAAAATACTAACGGGCAGAGCAGTGTGTCCATCTGGGTATGCACCCATCTGTCAGCTTGCTCTCTTCCCTTCATTAATTAGATCCCTATCCTTTTAAGAGTACCTTATAGGTTCTGACTAAGGTTCAGATATTTCAAGTGTACTGTCTGGACTTAAAGCCAGTTCTCCAATTTCTTTTCTTTTAGCTGCCTGTTTTGCCACCTGATCCACCATCACATTTCCAGTTTCCTGCAGTGTCACTCTTCTGATGTCCTTTACAATGTTTAACAGCCATGATGTTCTTTGGTAGATTTACATCATGCTGAATTTGTTTTCCTTGTGTGTAAGCAACCCTTACTCTTTCCAGATGGCACTATGAGTAGGTACCACCCCAAAAGAACATTTAGCATCTGTCCATATAGTTAAGGTTCTTGTCAAGGCAGTAATTTCAGTGGAAGTCCCCACAGGTAATGGTTTTGCTTCTATTACCTTGTCAGTAGCAGCTACTGCATGTCCTGCCTTACGGTTTCCTTGTCTCACAAAACTTGCTTCCCACAGTCCCTGCCAGCTGTGATTGTTTTACTGCACACTTACAGTCATTTCCTTCAGCAGTGCTGGAAAGCAGGTCCAGCTGCTGACCTCTGCATTCAGAGCTCAGTGCACACTGCTCAGAGGTCTGAAGGTTCTTCTCTGAAACCCTCACGCACTTCCGTGTTTACTCAAAGGGGGCAAAGCTTTCATGGACTCCAGATTAGAAGACTTCTGTATCAGTGCAGACACTGTAATTCATATATAGTTTGTATTTTCTCTGGAGATAGCTTTCAGGAATGTTCTTGCTACAGCCCTAAGTTTCCTCATTGCTTTTTTTCCTGAGGCAATAAACTAGAAGTTTAAAAAAACATCCGAACAGCCTCAAAATACTAAGTGTAAATCAATAAAAGTGTATGTAGCCAGCAGAGCGGAGAGATTTGAAGCTAACACTTGGAGTGAAATGCAAAAGCTGTTTTTGACAAGTTCTGAGTTCTCTAGTTCCCTACTTCCTGTGTAAGCTTCTCCTGGTAGGACTGCTGGTCCTACTTGGAAGCTTACTCAAACTTTTTATACTTGGAAAGCTCACACAAACTGTCACCTGAATGCTGCCTGGCAACGCTGCACACTTTGAAATAAAGGTGAGGAGGGGGAAAAAGTAATCTGTCACGTCTGTAAGTTCTCTTCCAGGCCACTGACAAGCAGCTTAGTACCAATATTCAGAAGGCTCTGTGCTCTCTTTCGATCCATTACAGTAACACACGCATCAAAAGGACTATACGAGAAGAAATACAACCCACTTCTGCACCAAAAGACCTTCAGTTTTCAGATGTCATTTAAAAAAAAAACCAAAACACTTCTTTGAAATGTACAAATGATAGTGCTGAGCAAGTGTCCAGCTCACCTGTGCTACACCGACAAATGCACAGAGGTGAGTACGTTTACAAAAGGTAAAAACCTAACACCACTCCTTCACTCTTAGACTCTCCACAGAACGTTAATGGGCTGACATTGTTCTTAGGGTACATTTTGTTACACGTGGTACTTGCTAGAATTTATTCACAAGTTCCTTGCCTCTTGATTAAAGACCAATTAGTGTAAATTTCTTTCCCGTAGCTTGCCTTTCTCTCAGCTTGGATTCTGAAACCCAGTAAGTCTCAGGATAACAAATGGTGTATTCTTATAAAGAAAAAAATACATACCTACTTGAAATTCTTTAATCTCAAGAATCAATCTTTTTTTCCTTTCAGGTCTTAATTTATGGCATCTTTACTCAAATATCAACCACTGAAGTTTCCTAATGAAACGTTCACTTACTGCACCTTCTAGCAGCACGTTGCCAAGCACAGAACTGCTGCTACCCCAAGAAGAGGGGTTGGGAGCAAGGCTAACCACCACAAGCCCAGGTCCTTTTTTCAGCCATAGTCAATTAACTCTTGAATAACTTCCCAAATGTCCCTGGGCTTGCCAGAGTCCCCTGGCACAGCCTGAGCCTGGTTTGCAGGCGGTTCATACCTCGGCTCCAGGGAATGGGAAGGAGCCGTGGATGGAAGGGGACAGGCATTGAGTGCTGGGAACCCAATGGCACCAAGCTCCAAAGCCACCAAATTGAGCATCTGGGACATGCCTTCTGTCTTCCAGGGCCACCTAGAGATGAGGCTGTCCCTGTATCAAGGATTTGTCCATGTAGGTATGCCAGAGTCCTCTCAAGTCCTGTGAGGCACCAAGGTGAGAGACTGATCCCTTGGGGCCCTAGGAACGTGACATCTGGGGACACTGAGAGATGGGAGAATCACAGAATCACCTGGGTTGGAAGGGACCTCAAGGATCATGTAGTTCCAACCCCCCTGCCTAGCAGGGAGGCCAGTGGGGACATGGACAGTGGGGACATCACGGTGATACGGGGACATCGTGGTGATGTGAGGACATCATGGGGACACAAAGATATAACGGAGATATGAAGACAGTGGCAATATGGGGGCATCATGGTGATACGAGGACAGGGGGACACTTGGAAGCAGGTGGGTGACAGGGACATCAGAACACAGGGAAACAAAGACACGTGTCTGTGGCAGCGCCCACTAAGCGCCCTTGTTGCCAAGCGGGAGATCAGGAGTGAATGAAAATCTGGCAGTGGCAGCTGGGTTTCCCTTTCATTCATTGCTGCGAAATCCAAAGACCAGGACTTTTAGATCTATGACATCTCGGAATCGTAGGGTCATAGACTCATAGAATGAACAAAATGACTCATAGAACCACAGCATCAGAGTATCGTAGAAACATAAAGTCAAGGAATCATTTAGGTGTGACAGGACCCCTACAGTCTCATCAGGAAACGCCATGTATTTTCTGCTCTCTTTACATAACCAACATCAGGAGTCACCATCCAGAAATCTGCACCATGTATCTGAAATGTCAGCAGTGCTGCTTTGTCCTTAGGACACGCAGTCAGGCAACCAAAACTTCATGTTGGGCTTTGGACTCACTGGCTATGTGCCTGAGTTTCAGCAGAACGAAAGATGTCTTACTGGTTTTGTTCCTGTGATGATCCAGACTCCTGTCATGGCTTGAAAGAAAGTGACAGATGGAAAGAAACAATAAAACACTGATAAATGGCTTAGAGCTATAAATGACTCAACGGTTCCTCAAGGAAAAGCGCCAATTTTAAGTGTGATGTCTGGCAGAATGGATAGCTGGTCACAGCCTCGTGGGACATTTCCCATAAATAAGAGAGCTGCTGTGCTCTGAAAAGATCACTTGGATGTTTGCTTTGGAAACTGCCCAGAGAGCGGTCAGCTGGAAGAGTTTCCTCTGGGCTGCTTCTGCTCTGCAGTGTTTGTCAGGGAGCTTATCAGTGCTACGTTATTTGCTGTATTTAAATACAGACTGACATCACACTTTGGTGAGGTGAAGACTGTTTTTAATATAAAGGCAAAGCAGGTGGGTGATACTTGGTAGTAACTTCACATTAAAGGTTCCACTTAGGAAAACCCTCTTTGCTGGTTTGATGATACCTAAAAAGAAATACCAAGTTCTTAGTAACAGCAGAATGTTGATAAGTAAAGTGGGATGGAGTCCAAGGTTCTCAGGCTGCTCAGCCAGCAGCTGAGCATGGAATCATGGCATCTTTTAAGCTAGAAAAGACCTAGGTCTAGATCAGGTCATCCAACCATTGACTCAGCACTGCCAGTTCCACCACTAAACCCACACCTGTGACATGTCACCATATCTGCAACATGTCACCCTGCTGGGCGCCGGGCTCATGGCGCCGGGGAGTAGGTGTGGGGACAATGGCATGGCACGTCCATGGTTGGGCTTGATGTTCTTAGAGGTCTTTCTCCAAATTCAGTTCTCCTAGGATTCCTAGGGATTCTAGGACATTAGGATTCTAGGATTCTGGCATAATATTAGGATTCCTCCCTTTGGGGCTCGGTGCCGTTGGGTTCCCAGTACTCAGTGCCCGTCCCCTGATCCCTGGCTCCTTCCCATGCCCTGGAGCCAAGGCAAGGGCTGGCTGCATGCCAGGCTCAGCCTGTGCCAGGGGACTCTGCCAAGCCCAGGGGCATTTTGGAACTTGAGGGGGGTCCCAAGAGGATAAATGCAGCCCTGGCTTCTTGCAGCCTCACCCAGCTTTCAGCACACAGTGGAAGATGAAAGCGGCTGCTGTCATCGTGCTCCTGCTCCTCGCCTCCACGTGCCTCCAGGCACAGGTAGATGGGTTCTTGGTAACGGGATGGCTCGCAACCACTTTCTCCTTGTGTTCCCTCACTTCCTGCTCTTTAGGTCTCCCTTCCTGCTCTCAGTCCCCTTGTTTCCTCTCTTTGGGTTCCTTTGGTTCCTTCTCTTTGGGTCCCTGGGTTCACTTGGTTTCCTCTTTGTGAGTCCTACTGATTTCCTTTCTTTGGGTTTCCTCTTTAGGTCCCCTCTGTCCCCTCTCCTTGGGTCCCCTTGTTTCCTTCTTTGGGTCTCCACCTTCTGGTCTCTACCCCAAGCCCAGATCCCCACATTCCAAGGACTCCATATGACATGTGGAAGAAATTGGGTCTGTGGGAACCAGTTGGGATTTTCCCTTTAAGACCAAGGGAAGGCCATATGGGGTTGTTGCGAAGGCATCACCCACTGCCATACGCCTTCCTATTAACTCTGACCCAAACTGTCCCTCATTCTCCTTCCCCAGCTCCTGGATGACTTAGAGGTGGGAGCAAGCGGAGCTCTTGAGATAGGGGTGAGTACTGTGGTGTCCTCAGGAGGTGCCTCCCATTTGGGGAGCCCCAGTTCCTCAGCGGTTTTTTAGGAGATTTTGGTGCCCACCGGGATCTCCTCATTTCTCCCACCACAGCTTAAGTTGCTACAAGGGAAGCAGAACTCCGATCCCCATCCCCCCGTGGTGCTGGAGCTGCCTGTGGTTGTGGATCTTCCTATCAAGGTGAGTGACACTGGGGGACCCCTGTATCCTGCAGGCTGCTGGGCTGTGGTGGGACCCCAAATCTCTCTGGACTGGGAGGTGTGGAGGGGATCAAAAAGGATCCAAGAAGAACAGCGCCATGCCTGTAAGGTGCAAGTGGTTGTCGTGGCACCATAAGGACCCATAAGGTCACCCAAAGAACACAAAGGGTTCTGGTGCCATACAGACCGAACAAAGTGACCGTAAGGTCACCACCTGCTCTTTGACTTTCAGGATGAAACATTGGTGTGAACCCTGTGCTGGCCCCACTGTGTTCCATAAGGACTTGATCATCCCTGCATGTCTCCATCAGATCTTCGAAACAACACAGCCCATTTTCCCATTAAAAAAACACCAATAAACAACCCCAGCAAAGCTCCTGTGTCTGTGTGTCCCTCTATTCTTGCATCCATCAGTCCCTCTGTCCCTTTGTCCATGTGTGCCCCATTATTCCTGCAGTAACTCCATTATTCCACGATGTAATATCCAGTGGGTTGAACACAGTACTGAAGTCAAAGAGATGGCACTGAGTGACACTGGGGGGGACAGCCCACCAGAGATAGCACTCAGTGTCCTCTGTAGCCCTCAGAACAATTTCTGACTCTTTCTGGTGCCGTTTAGATGCATTCAGTCCCTCCTGCATTCAGTCTCCCTATGGGGCAGCTGCAGCCCCTGCCCTCTGCTTCCCTCTCCCTCTATCTCTTCTTCCCTCCATCCCTCCCTCCATTCTTCCTTCAATTCCTCCTCGCTTGGCCTTGCCTTCTACCCACCCTCCAAGCCAGTGGCAGGGCACCCAGTCCATTTAAATTGAAGTCATAATAGGGTGCTGTAGTCCTGGTGCTTTACAACCCTAAA